TACATACATACATACATACATACATACATACATACATACATACATACATACATACATACATACATACATACATACATACATACATACATACATACATACATACATACATACATACATACATACATACATACATACATACATACATACATACATACATACATACATACATGCATGCATACATGCATGCAACCATACATACATACACACTAATATATACACGTGTACAATTTTTTATTTCATAAATTAAATTTATTTAAAAATTTTATTATCTTCACACCATTGTCAGTTACGTAGCGTCAAAGTCCAAAATCACTACATACGAAGCATAATAAAACGAGGCGCACACACAAAAACACACACAAACAAACAAACACAAATTATTATTGTTATAAAAACATTTGTGATAAATAATTTCGTTAAAAATTTATAAATATCCACAAAACAAAGGAAAGAAAATATATACAATAAATTTGGTGTTAAATGCCATCAGATTGAAGGGTAGATCATAAACAACAACAACAACATCATCTTCAACACTGACAACAACAACAACATCATCTTCAACACTGACAACAACAACAACAACATCATCTTCAACACTGACAACAACAACAACATCATCTTCAACACTGACAACAACAACAACATCATCTTCAACACTGACAACAACAACAACAACATCATCTTCAACACTGACAACAACAACAACATCATCTTCAACACTGACAATAACAACAACATCATCATCTTCAACACTGACAACAGCAACAACAACATTGACAACAACATCAATATTGACAATAACAACAACATTATCGGCAACAATTTTATATTTAAGATATAACCATGCATTCCTGGGGTTATTGCAAAAATAACGGTTAGCTGATTTATAATTTTATTGACAACAGTATTAATAACATTAATAAAATAATATTAATATAATAATTATAATAATAATAATAATTCATCTATCCATTCATCTATCCATTCATTCATCCATTCATTCATACGTTCGTCCATCCGTCATTCAATCAAGCCATTCTCTAATTATCTACCGGAACATGTTTATTGCAAAATTACGGTTTTTATTTATCATTATTGTTATTATTATTATTATTGTTATTATTTTTATTATTATCGTAAACAAAAACAAATACCTCGCCTTAAATATGGCTGGTACTGATAAAGTATGTTGACTTTCTCTAGAGAAGGGTTTATTTTGTGAAAATATAAAAACCCGATGTATAACAATAATGTATTTATTTATTCATGCCTGTGTTTGTTTGTTCGTTTGATCTTTCGTTCGTTCATTGATTCATCCATTAATTAATAAGTTAATTAATTAAATAATTCATTCGTTCATTCATTTATTCATTTATCGTGCGATTACTTAAAACATTGCAAGAAGTCCAACATTCAGTTAACATTTTGTTCGCCTCTCGATAAACAACTTAATCGCTATTTAATTTCTCTATTAAATCATTCCTTTATTGATTCATTCAAAATTTTCTTCTGTCATTCATATTCCATCTCATTTTTCAATCAATTCATCTATATTCTATTAATTCATTTATTAGACTAGCAATAGATTTAGCGGGTAATCGTTCAACTAATCTGACCACTGTAACCTTCCAACCAATCACATCAACCTATTTTTCACATCTCGACAGTAAATTTTTTTGACCAATCATAACACAGGTCCTCACAAGTGGGTGGAGCTTGCGCCGGCAGCTCGAGGCCTCCACCAATCACCGGTCAACATCGATACTACTAAGATTGACAAGTTGGAATCTATTGCATTTTCTCACCATAAACCATCACAACAATAACACCACCACAATCATCACTATCCCAATCATCCCATCATTCTCATCATCGTCATCATCGTCATCATTATCATCATCCCAGGTTCCACTTCCGTCCACTGAAGTTCCAGTACGTGCCGAAGAACAGCAAGACCATCCTTAACAATGGACATACCGTTCAAGTTGCTCTTGACGGGAGTGACTCACGTGAGTTTCCTGATTGATTGCTAATTGATTAATTAATTAATTAATTGGTTAAATAATTGATTGATCGAGTGATTCATTCATTTCTTCTTTAATAGACATATTGGCTGATTGTTTAGATGGTTGAGTAGAGTAGTTAAAATTTAACAAAAAAACTGAATAATCTTTATGTCAACCAACCACCAACCAACCAACCAACCAACCAACCAACCGACCAACCGACCGACTAACAAACTGACCAACCAACCCCTTCCCAAATGAACAGTACTAGAAGGGGGACCCTTTCCCCATCGCTACAGGGCCGCACAGTTCCACTTTCACTGGGGTATGAACAACAACATGGGCTCCGAGCACATGGTCGATGGCAGATATTTTGCCGCCGAGGTGATGATGATGACGATGATGATGATGCTGCTGCTGATGATGATGATAGGGCAGTGATGATGATGATTTTTATGATTGTGAAAACGATCAGGATGATGAAATAACTAGCAATTTGTTGTTGGCGTCACGTCATTACTCTCATCATCATCATCACCACCGACAAAACTACCAACATCATCATCATTATCATCGCAACAATCATCATCGTCGTCATCATCAGCTACATATAGTGCATTGGAACTGCGAACTATATTCATCAATCGAGGAGGCTGTCAAATCCGCCAATGGTTTAGCAGTCCTGGGAGCTTTCATCAAGGTAATGACGTCATCATCGTTATGGTGACGTCACCATCATCGTTCTGGTGACGTCATCATCGTTATGGTTATGACGACGGCTAGGATAATGATGATGTTGTTGTTGTTGATGATGATGACAAAGATAATGATAATGATGATGATGTTGTAAGTTGATGTTTATGCAGAAGATGATGACATATTCATGCGTTCATTCTTCTATTCATCCAGTCATCCATCTTTTGATCTATCCATCCATTTGCTCGTCTATTCACTCATTCACTCACTCATTCACTCACTCACTCACTTCGCTCATTCAGCCCGGAAAACATCACCACGAAATGGAAAAACTGACATCAATGTTACCAAAGATTCTATATTCTGGCGAAAGTGCCGAGTTGAAAGATGGATTCGACCCAGCGTCATTACTGCCAAGTATGATGATGACGACGATGATGATAATGATGATGACGATAAGGATGATGATGACGACAACGATGATGATAAAAAAGAATTGGCAATGATAAAATATAATGACGACGATAAAAAATCAGAGCACACTGACTACTGGACATACAGTGGCTCTCTGACGACACCACCTTGCTACGAGTCCGCCAGGTTCGTCATCTTCAAGGAGCCCATACAAATCTCAGAAGATCAAGTATGTGATGATGGTGGTGACAGAGTGATGAGGATGACAATCAGTTCAATCAATCAATCAATTAGTCAATCAATTAGCTTGTAAAGCGCTCCTCAATGAATTTTGCAAACAGATGGGTCTTGAGATCCCCTCTGAACTTCTGAATGACGGTAGCGAAGTTGAAGTAGACAGACGACAATAATTGAATGTCTTTTCTTTCAGATGTTTCAACAACACACACACACACACACACACACACACACACACACACACACACACACACACACAGACACACACGCAACATTCATCTTTTCTATCAATTTTTTTTATTGACATCACTCATTCATTTATTTGTAATCATTCGTTTCTTCCTCCAACAGCTGAACAGCTTCCGGCAGCTGAGATCCCATGCACGTGACACCAGCGCACCACGTGACGACGAATTTGGCGGAAAAATTTTGCAAAATTATCGCCCACCTAATCCGCTTAACGATAGAAAAATTGTCAGCTCTTGTTGATGGGACGATGACAAAGAAGATGGGGAGGATTGTGGTGAAGAAGAAGACGATGGTGATGAAGATGATTTGATTTTTGTTTTTTGAAGAAACAAGATTGATTTCAAATGCACCCGTTCATTCATTCATTTATTTGGTAATTCTTTCATTCATCAATTATTCATTCGTTCGTCCATTTGTTCATTCGTTTGTTTGTTTGTTTATTCATTCAATCAGAATATCGATAATTCCTCTTTTTTACGCATTAATTCGTTCGTTAATTCATTTTCATCCATCCATTTCATCTTTCATTCATTATTACATTCACTCATTCTTTCACTTATTGTTTCTTAAATCGTCCAACATAGATCTGTGATTGCACTTTTTTTTATAAATCTTTGTTATAATTTAATAATAATATTAATAATAAATAATAATAATAATATATTTTGATATGAGACAGTAAATACTGACGAATTTATATATTCCATTCCTTCATTCATTCATCCATTCATTTATCCATCCATTCATTCATTCATCATTCATTCATTTAACTTTGCAAATCGATTGATTAATTAAGCATGTTAGTTGACTCATTTAATTTATTTTTCCCGAGATCGTTAGGACTGTTCTTGCACTAATAAAATGTTTTTTTACCGAGTTATTCCAATGATGGACTGAGTGAATTAATTGAAAAAATGAGTTAATGAGTGAATGAATAACTGATGAACGAACGAACGAATAAATAAATGAAGGAATGAATAAATGATTGATTGATTAAATGAATGAATGACAAGACGATTAAACGAAAGTTAGATTTAATAGAAGTGAAACGAGTAAATAAATAAGTGAATGAACGAACGACTGAATGATGAATGAATGAATGATGAATTAATTGATTAATCAGCAGGCTGAAATATATACATATACCTATCATTATTCTCATTAAAAAATGAAAACGGAATTCTGCGTGTATCTCTGAAGATGTTTGTATCTGTTTGTATCTGTTTGTATCACTCTCTCTCTTTCTCTCTCTCTCTATTTCTCTATTTCTCTCTCTCTCTCTATTTCTCTCTCTCTATTTCTCTCTCTCTATTTCTCTCTCTCTCTCTCTATTTCTCTCTCTCTCTTTCTCTATTTCTCTCTCTCTCTTTCTCTATTTCTCTCTCTTTCTATTTCTCTCTCTCTCTATTT